TGCTATCTTGTTTTGTATTAGGTGTAGACATGACGACTGCTCCAAAATTCTATCTCACGAGAACCTGGCTGCCGCCATTTTAAAATTAAGTACGCAGCCAAGCCTACCCGATCTCAGGGATTTGGAGTATAAATTGGTTGGGCCTTTGCAAGTCAGTATGCTGGCTAGGACGTATTTAACACAGCCCTACTGATTCCGACTGAACTGTAGTGTATGGCGCATTCCAGAAAAACATTGGAAGCCTCAGGCTTAACCTTCATAAAAAATAACCATTAAAGTCAGTTCATCTCATCGTACCAGTAGAGGATGAAAAATTTTATAGCTGGCTCTCATACTTGTAGACAGACATCCAAAGCACTCTCTGTGACTGGGCCTAACCTCATTTGAATGGAGACCAAAACTGAGTTTGTTTCACAGACCCTGGAGCTGTTTTTTTTTTGGGATTATGCAAAATCTTCGTTCTCATTACTGTTCTTCTACCTACTTTTGCGGAGGAGCGTTCAAATACTCTTCAAGACAATGAGTGCTCAGTATTTTTTCGAAGAGAATTTCAGAGATCTCGTCTACAACAGATCGCCGGTCAGTCGGTAGGCTTTAGACGGGCGCGTCTATTTGGAGCGCCATACCATACGGTCATAAAAAATAGAAATGAGAATATCCTTTTGATGTACCGCCATAGTAATTTCCCACGGGAAGTTTTTCCTTAAGAAACTACTTCGTAACTCTCTCGCAGGATAACCCAGTACGAGTCTTTTTTAAGAATAACAGTAATTAGTCAACTTTGAAGAGCACAAAACAACCTTGCAAACGACGGTCTTGTCCATGTCCCTCTTCGTGACCAGATACGATGCAAATGAGGACGAGAGCGTTTTCGAGAGAAAAAGGCAAAGAATCGGCAACGCAGCTATCAGTCCGTTCTGTGTGGGGGCGAATTCCAATACGTCACGCATGTAGTTGGGAAGAAACTGGAATACCAGACATTACCGTCACTCATTTCCGCCTTCTACTCAAAGAACCGGTTAGCTCAGGGTTAGGGTGAAAGTAAGAACTTTTCCTACTGAACCTCTCGTGACTGAACTATTAGGTTGATTCAAAAGTCTTCGGACGTTTATGGATGTCCCCATTCACAAACGTTCATCCTGCTAACATTTAGATCTCTCGCGCAGTTTGAAGAGCCGTTCGATAGAGAAAAGAACGGTCTGCAGAATCATTCTAAACGTTTACCTGAGTGTAGTGGTTTGTGGCTAATATGCTGCCTGAATTCACGCCGTCTGAACAGCATCTCCGCAACGTCATGTTGTTCCTATTCTTTTCTGACCATAATCCTAACTAGTCCCACCCCCGCCTGCAAGATGTCTATAAGGAGAATGCTCCCGCAAACTAGCACCTCTACTCTTGACTCGCCAAGTTAAGAAAGGCGAGTGTCGGCGCTGTTGTCTACGGGGGGGGGCATTTTATTTATCATTGCTTCCCTAGTTCCGGTTTACAAATCTCACTCTGGTAAAACTTGTGAAC